AATAGCCTGTCAAAAGGAAACAACAGATTCCCTTTGCTTGTAAGACTGTGATCTATCTACACGAAAGAAGTTGATAAAAATAAAATACTAGGAAAGGAAGGAAAAAAATAGAGAAAGATATGTTGCTTTGATGATTTATGTATGAAAGTCAAAAAATAATGTAACTGAATGATAAATTAAATACTAGACACTTTATCTCTCACTACAGACTAGATAGTAAAAGTACAACCTTAGAAGCAATTTGGTGGCAAAGTCAGAATAATGTTCTAACATTTCACCTTTGGACAAAAAGTCTTATGACATATTCAGAAAAAGGAAGGTGAACACAGCTTCAGACCAACCATGCCATAGTAGTTTCCAGGTTTCTCTCTGTTACCTCTGAAATCAATTGCTTAGCCGATTTGTGCCTGTGAATTGATTGAGTCATGTTCTGTGAATATGGCAATTTTGGGCATCTCCTTGACGGAAACCTTACCCTGACTCCCAAAATGTAGCTTTTCAGAGTAAAATTTAGTAAAATTCCCAGCAATAGGAAGAAATGCAAACACAGTAACCCTGCTTTCTAAACCATGCTTATCTCCAATGATATTACTTTAAAAATTAGCAATTAAGGATTTATGTTCAAATTTTTTTAAAGAAACAAATGAAAGGAAAGAGGCTTTAAGCAATCAATAGAGAATGTAATTTTTGATGCTTTGATAAATCTGTCAACAAATTTTAAATAATGAAGTCAGTTCAGGATTTTCTAGATTTAATAAATTTAACATCTACATACAGTAGAATGGTATAATTTAATTTGCTCAATTGAGTTGAATCTGATTGAAAATTTTACTTCTCAATTAAAATCCCTTGTCATTGATTCAACTTGCAACCTCCTCTCAGCCCTGGATATTACTTTATTCAGTCTGCATCTTGAAGACATTTACATTTCTAATTACATGCCCAATGCCATTTGAAAGCAACCTATTTAAATGTCAAAGAAGGCATTTAATAGTTGTACCTGTTAAAATAGATAGTTAGGTCATTCTTTAAAAGTATAATTCTTCTAATAAGCTATCACTAGAATTTGAAAGCCCAAAGATGTTGCTAGCAATGCATATAACCATTATCCACATATATAGTGCACTTAAAGACTACAATATAGGTACACCTTTATAGGTGAATTGAATCTGAATTTTCAGAGAAACCAAGAAGGCTGAAAGAACTTTAAATTAGATTTTGAAGATACACTAAAAGTTTAGCCTTGTAGTTTGGAGACCATATACCAAAGATTCTGACACCTCTCAGTTAAATAGGGGATATAATGCATTGTGATTTTTTATCAGAAAGGATAAAATGGAAACTAATGCATAATTACATAATGAAAAAGAAAACTCATTTTCAAACGCAAATAATCAGTTACTACAGAGAAGGAAAAAGAATAAAGCATGTATAAATAAGAAATTTTATTGTAGCATTTCCCATGTGCAATTTGAGAGCTATAATGTAAGAAAAAAAGCAATATTGTGACGTCACTGAGGATTTGGAGTCTGCATGAAGTCTGAATAGAGTTTCATTCCAGCTCTGTCCCATACCACCTTGATAACCTAACTTTTTGCCCATCTATTTCCTAATCTATAAGATGGAAATGATAATAACAGCAATTTGGGGAAATAATAATAAGACCAAACATATATGTAATATTTCCCTCCTACTACTGCCCCATCCATTCTGTATTTTAATATGAAAAAGGGACAGGTGTATTGTTTGATTAGAATTGTTTTATTCTAAACTTAATATTATGGATATGTAACCAGTAATACTCAGAGAGAAATTTTTGTCTTTACATTAGCTCTTCTGAGCTTTTATATTCAGCCATTTTTGGTGGTCAATGAAGGCTTTATCTTACTAAGGGGATCTGCATTCACCAGATAACATTTCCTTTATTTCGATTTGTTCATGTTCTCTTCTCCATTATTTACAGAGCTTAGAGTTTCTACTCAACCCTAAAGGTTAATATGACATCTCTGGTCTAGCAACTAGCCTGAAACTTCCAGAGGCTCTATCTATACTTAAGCTATATATATCAGGAAACTCAATGCAAAACTGAGATTCACCAGAGTGACTTAGTAGATCATAACTCAGCCTGGCTCCTCTTAGTGGGGAACCCTGATGTGTGGCTTTGGTCTCCAGCTGTTCAGAAGTATTTTACATTCTTATCAAAGACAGAAAAATCTTCTGGAAAGTGAATGCATAATCAAGTCAGGTGTGAATCCCACCAATAAAATCAACTATTTGAACCCACAAAAATGTCTCAGAAAGATGTAGTATCTAGGTAATTCAATACCTCTAGGAGACAATGCATGGAAAGACAGTCATTGGTTTTTAACTACATATTATTTTGAAAAATGTCACCATCTTTTCCAGAAAAGCATAGATCTCTAAATTAAAATGCTTTTAAAGAAAGTAAATTAAATCAATAACTTAAATCAAGAAATAGAATATGCTGCATTTCCTTGTAACAATACATAGAAATGGCCCCAAATACATTAGTATACATGTTTAAAAAATCATTCTTAATAAAATGTTAGAAGACATTAAAATTAGACCTACTTACTCATTGCTATCTCAATCATGCAAAATGCTAACTAGTAGGGATGGACAATTCTGAATTCTGTTTTCAACATGTTTAATGAAGTAGGATTTAAATTAGCAATCCTTACTATATCTTCACATTGCATAAAATAAAATCAAAGATAGCATACTATTTTAATAAGAATGCTATAAAAAGCAATACATAATTTCTTTTCTTCTTCTTCTTTTTTTAAGTCTAGGGATCAAACCCAGGGCCTCATGCCTGCTAGGCAAGGGCTCTACCGCTGAGCTACACCCCAGCCAACTATTCTATTGAAGAATCACAATACTGATCATACTGGCCTTTCTAGCTGTACTTGAAAGTTGTTGTTGTTTTTTTTTTTTTTTTAAGTGCTTTGAGAACTATCCCAGATATGAAGAATTTGGTCTTAATGCAATATTTTGGAATTCTGACAAATATCTGCTGCATTATCAATTATCTAAATATCAACTGAAAATTCAGCAGTTGACTGCCTAGTGTACCAAAAATCCTACATTTTAATCCTGGAATTTATTTAACTTGACTTCTTAGAACCATAAGGAATTTCTAATGCATTGCTTTAAGAAAATCTTTGTTTTGTGATTCTTAGATGCTTTAAACAAAACTAGGGGTTTAATTGGAGATAACTGGTACTATTTTAGCAAACAATTTACCAAAGTGTATTCCACAAAACATTAAGTCTGTGAGATTCTATTGGTGAGAAGTTTTTATGGCCAAATAATGGAGAAATGCCAAGTAGGAAATCTTTACAACCATCTTGCAGATTCTTTAGAATGCATATTCTATAAAAGAAGGGAATTTGTCTAAGCCTGGTCTACTACTGTGGCCTCCAGTCTGCAGCTATGCTTTGCAATTAGAAGACATTCTGCAGAAGTGAATGAATAAACACAGAGGCTTTGAATAGTCTTCCACCATAGAAATGTCTTTAATTACTACTTTAATTTTCTTTCACTCAGAGTATCCCATATCTATTGAAACACAGGAATCCTTTGCTTTATTGGTTAGCACTATAGAATATTTTATGTATAAAAAAGAAGAAAGAGAGAAAAAGAAAGAATAGAGAAAAATAGAGCAGGCATCCATATCACTTCTACCTATATTCAGGATTAAATGTCAAAAATACAACAAAAAACAGAAGCCTTTCTACTGTGCTTCCTGCATTCCATTTCATTTCACAACCCACCTTCTCCCTCAAAGCAAGATCACCCCAACATTAGGATTTAGGACCTCATGATACTTATTAATTTCCTTCTCTAGGAAATCCTGAGTTTATGGGAGTAGATCGCTAAAGACCCTTCAGTGCATATTTTATAAATGCCTGTCTACAAATCTACCTACCTACTAAAATAAAACAATAATGAATAAGAAATGAATAAAATAAAACACTACAATACAGATGCAAAGACAACAGACAATTGATGTAATAATGATATTTACAGAGAGGCTAAGCAGCTTTTCTTTCAGAGGAACTGATATAAAATATAAAGAGAGATAGATATGTATCTTTAGATTTTACACACACATACATACACACAATAGCCTAAGAAAGCATAGAAATATTGGTTATTACAATATTGATTCTCTATAATTATAAGAAAAAAATCCTCAATTCTGTGTATTTGGCTTAAGAAATTATCACCTGATGCCCATGTCAATGTGACAATGTGCCCACATTTACAAAACAGGTCCTGCCAAGAAGAAGAAAACCCTTTCCTGAGCCAAATAAATACTTGCTATGAAAAGGTCTTTATCAATGTCCAACACACTCAAAAGGAGAACCACAAGTGGAGTAATATAGTTTAATAGAAAAATAACTAGTTTTTAAAAAAAACAGTAAATTTTTTTTTGGTAAAACATTTTCCCCCTCAAAATTTCAAGTACCAGTACAGATGTTTCTAAACCATCATAGAAAAACTTTACTTATATATCTAATAAGATGTGCTTTGGAACATTTAATTTTGGGGCCTGTGCTTCATAAAGCAGATGAGAAGACCTAGCACAGACATTTCTAGACTTATTGCCATATTTCTTAATCTTATTATAAAGGTTGTTGACCAACTTACTAAAAAAAGAATTGAATCCAAAACTGCAGCTATGTAGCTAATTGTATATGTAACCAAAACAAGAGAAAGAACAATCAAGAATGCAAGATGTGTGAATGAATTGTCCACTGTATAACTGGTAACCAATGTCACATAGTTTTATAGACAAATGAAAGAATTAGAATTTCATTTCACTTTTTAAGTAAACTCAATGCATTCTTCCTATGTTAAGTAACCAACAAAAATGAAATATAACTTCAGAATATCTTTACACATCCACATGTCTTTTCTCATATTAAAATGAATTTGTATCTAAAAATGCTGATAAAAGTGTTAATACTTACCCCCATTATCTTTTAGATGTAGTGCTATCTTGGTATCATCTGGAAAAGAAATGCAAAAATATTATAAAGAAATCATATTTTAAAGGTATATAAATTGGATGGCCAGTAACTTTCTATTAATTGCCTTAACTGTACCATATCTAGACTTTGATAATTTATTGAGAAAATTTCTAGTGATGGAAAGATCTTCTGTATGTGATGAAGTACTAATTATTTTTAGAGATTATAAGAATTTAGTAAGGTATATAAGCCTTAAGTTTTATAAGAAAGGTAAATAGTCATAATTATATTTTAAAAATATATCTATTTGTAATTTTCTAAAACAAATTTATAGGACTCAGTAGTTATCATTTATTCATTCATTTTTAAATATCAATATCAAGAAAAATGTAAACTAATTAGAATAATCAGGTTTATCAAAAATTATAAATTAAATATAAAAACCAATGCTTTTTGATTTTTAATGAATATGACCAAAATAACTTATCAAAAGATCTTGTCCTGAATGAACAAAATATAGGATATGGTTTTTCATTTTGGGGTTATATTTCATTCTAAGGGTAGTATTTAAATTACAGAAGTATTTTCATGGACTTTCATAATAGCAATACAAAATAACATCAGTTTTATATATAATGGTACTTTTAAAAACAATAAAATGCATTTGACTTTTTCTTTCATCTAACTTTATTTCAGTTACCTTATAATATCCAATTAAATTTCTATTAAAATCCAAGATCTAATGTTTCATTTAATTTCCTGTCTAAAAGAAAGCAAGCCTATGGCAATAAATACCTAAGACTCTTTTCTCTCCTCAAAGCTTCCTCTTGGCCAACTATTCTCCTATGTCTGCCTACTTCTTAAAGGTAGCATGCAAACAGAAATTTATCAAGTATTTGGTAATATGCCTTCTTCTCCCAGGAATTGTGCTTATATGTTAATATTCTTCTGTTTTGCCATCCTTAGGAGAGGTAATATTTCTCAAGGATAATTTTTGTGACCTTCAAGGTGCCTCGGTATAGGTTATAGACTAACATTTCATTGACTAGATTCAGGAAGTATTAGAATTGCAGGTGAATAGAACTATCTATTGCTCAGAATTCAGAATCAATGGACATTTTATATGCATGTTGCCTTTCCATCCTGTGACTGCAATATTGAGTTTGGTGACTGCTAAATTTAGCTACCTAAAAAGAAGTCTATATTTCTTTTCTAGGGAGGACAATAAGTCAGATCACAGGTAACAGTTACGCCTTAATAAAAGGCAGAGTATATTAAAAAAAAAGTTATAGCATACATTTTCAGTTTATAATAATTTCTTTCTTTTATTCCCCTTTAGAAATTCCTTAGAAATTCAGTTTCCCAAAGAATAACTATGCCCTCAGAGGGCAGGAGGTACTCAGGTATGTGTCAACACAGTGATTTTTCACTCTACTGAAGAAAAAACCAACTCTGGGGCACCTTCTGTGGGTAGGCTGGTAGGCAGCTGGGATGTCGCTGTCCTCCGGGTGGTGGTCAAAACCTTGAACTGCATGGTTGTCACATGCAGGGTTGTGGTGGTTTGAGAGGATGTTTCCATGGGCTCTGTGTTCTCACACATCTTCTCTTTAGACTGGTATGGGACACAGAAAGGAAAGCAAATTGAGCGATCACGCATATATTTTTTAAAATTGCATCAAAGAAGTTGGGCTGTAAAGTAAGAAGGGTTCATGAAAAAGATAGCCAACGTATTGTTTTTGTACCAGACAATATTTGTAAGTTTCATTATTTATTTAAATCCCACCATTAATTTACAAAGTTCATAAAATAGAAGAGACACAGAAAAAGTGGACATAACACAGTAGGTCGATCTTTAGATATTTAGATTTTATCATTTTGGGCTATTAACTTTCATCTTGCCCTAAATTCCATATTAATATGTTTATAAAAGATACTACATCAGAAGAAAAAAGTTGAAATTAGAAGAAAAAATGTATATGATGATAAGATTTAAACGACAGTTGGGTATGTGAAGAAAGAGTACATCATCTCAGACAAGCTAAATCCAAACGTGTGCTAATTGCTTTGGGCTACTTTGTTTTCTCAGAATTAATCTGCCACAGGTTGAATGAATATCTTAAATATACAAAATCACACATGTAAAGGATTGAACAGCACTCACTTAAACACATGGTCTAGTTTTCCCTGAAAGGGCTTTCCTGAAGCTACCAGGAAAAGGTACATTTCCTACAGTTTATTTATAGCCTACAAAAATAAATTCTATAATCCTCACTATGAACAATCGCCAGCATTCAAACCTTTGCAGTTTAGAAGTTGGTGTTCCAACCCACCTCTTTGTGCTTTTAAGGACTCTTCTCTCTCTGGTAGGTCTTGAATAGAAAAGAACTGACCTGCACATGAGTGGTACAGATTCCATATTCGGAAATTATTAAATAAATACCTTCTTTAAACTCTCTTCTAATTAGTGAAGTCCTAGGCACATTTTCAGTGAATACTGAAGAGTTCCTCAGACAGCTTCCTTTTCATTAATTGCTTATAATTAAAGTTTGCTCTCCACTTCAAATCCCACCATCCTCTGGGCTCACTGAAGACTCCAAACTGCAATTTCTGCGCTTTCTCAACTCCAAAGATTTAATGATCAACTCTCTGACTCCACTTTATTTGGCATCCCTACCCACTGGATCTTATCTTCAATGAGAGATGCTTAAGTTTGAACTCATAAACGCCATTATCCTATCTCAGTCTATCCATGTACAAGGTCATGTTCACTCAAATGTTTCTTATTCTTTGATTACTTAGAAAGCCCAAGCACAATAATTTTCTTTCTTTAAGTCTCTTTTATTGCCTCACTCCATCATTTTTCAATAGCTTCAAGCACTATTATATGTTCTTTAGAAAATCTTCAATAATGTAGACATTAAGAAATCTGCTTTTTACATGTCTGCCCCAAAGCCAGGCATAGCTGAAAATGAATTCCTTGGCACCCACTTCTCCTGCCCAGGGAGCCCCACTCTGTATCCTTAGTTAAGCTATCCACACTGCCTGACAATACTGTTCTGTTCTGCTAATCACTCGCCCTGACCCTCAGTATCAATTTCTCAAGTCTGCTCTCTATTTAAAACTACAGTCTCATAATGATTCTCTCAATTTTAACCAATAGGCTCAGCATTTATCTCTTTGATAAAAGAGATATCATCAGCAAGAATTCTTTTTTAAAATTTTATTTATTGAAGATGGGAGGGGAGGGGAGGGGAGGGGGGATAGTAGAGGATAGGAAAGGCAGCAGAATACAACAGACACTAGTATGGCAGTATGTAAAAACATGGATGTGTAACTGATGTGATTCTGCAATCTGTATACGGGGTAAAAATGGGAGTTCATAACCCATTTGAATCAAATGTATGAAATATGATATGTCAAGAGCTTTGCAATGTTTTGAACAACTAATAAAAATAAAAGAGATAATAAAAAAAGAAAAAAAATTATTTATTCATTTATTATTGGTACATTATGATTACACATAATAGTGAAACTTGCTATAACATATTTATACATGCACACCATATAACAAAAGGGACGTATTCAGCAAAAATTATTTAATTTCTTTAAAACTCGGCATACTCACTACCATTGGAACTGACCTGTTCTTTCATTCTATAGTAATGGATGGGAGCCATTTTGTATAGTGATTATTTTGACCTCTGCTTTGGCCCAACTGAGCTCACTTTATTAGGTATTGGACTCTTGCTTTTTAGATCACATCCATATTCTTTAATATTTGTCCTAATTCTACGACTTGTTATTATGAACACTTAAACATACTCACACATGTGTGATCTTATCTTACAAATAGTCCTTGTACTTCTCCATAATGCATCCTAACCTCACATTATCCTACTTTTCCTTCTATTCATACTGATACTTCCAGACAGAGTAGTATGTTCTTATCCTCTCAGAATCCCATATTTCCCACTTAGGATAATTTTGTTCTTACGCAATCTAACTCGGGTGAAATTTCTTATACCAATATTTCTACATATCTTCTCAGCAAATTTTCCGGGGAATACTATCAATATCTCAACAGCATTTAGCATAGACATCTACTCTTAACCTGGGTTTCTGTGTTCTATACTGTCATCAGTGTTCTGATACCTAATAATTTTTTCTGTTTCATTTCTATGGTTTTCTGTTGGTGGTTCTTATGGATCTTTCTTGACCTGTCATTTTATTCTATGCTTTCTCACGAGCCATCTCTTCAACACCCGTGATTCTACCTAACATCTTTATGTTGAGTATTCACAAATCTATATCTCTATATCCCCACATTACTCTCTCGGACATCTGGCTCAAATATTCATCTATTGACTGGACATCTGCATGTGGACCTCACTCCATCTCAAGCTCTAGAAGTCTAGAATGGAACTTGCCATCTATAATTGTCCCCTCGTGTTCTGTTCTCGATGAACAGCACTATCAAACACCTCATGTTGAAGGTATGATCGTAGATGCAGTTTAGTTATACCAGTAAAGGCATATTAAGACTATAAATGTCTTTCTAGTTGTTATAAAATATAACAACTAGATTTTGGATAAAACACAAATTTTAAAGCAGCATTAGAATTTGCAGGAAGTAAGAAAACTCTCTAGTGGTGTCTTCCCATTGTCTCCCCCTTCTTCCTCAAAATAAAACAAAAGAAAAGTTGTGTGTTATAGAGAGAATAGGAATAGTATATATAATCAAAGTAAAATAGCAGGTTTTCCCTATGGAAAAAGACCTAGAGGCTGGGGTTGTGGCTCAGCGGTAGAGCCCTCACCTAGCAAGGGCGAGGCCCTGGGTTCAATCCTCAGCACCATATTAAAAAATAAATAAATAAAACAAAGGTATTGTGTCCAACTACAACTAAAAAATAAATATTAAAAAAGCGCTAAAGTCACTATCACTTTAAGGGACCAATCCTTGCATCAGCAGCAAATGGTGGGGATAGGGGGATAAAGCTAAATGTCTCCTCATATGAAGGAAGTACCTTTAGTATTCCTAAAATCCTCATGGTTCATCATCAAATCTTTTTTGGTGGAAACCATCACCTATTTAGGTCCTAGAGATTCCCATGGAATAAGATCTAATCTGTACTACCATTAAGGGACATAAAAAAGAAATAAAAAATAATAAATACATGAGCAGTCTGATAAAAAGTTAGCAAAACGATGAATGATGAACAACATTTAGAGCACCAAAACTTTAGATATTGGGACCATCCATTATAGAATACATAAAAATTATATCTGGAATATTTACAGGATTGAAAGGAAATATTTAAAAGAAATATGGAAGCATGAGTGTATAAAAGTGACTTGGCCAACTAAATAAAGTGTCAAATTTAAATTTTAGAAGTGAAAAATGAATTCATTAAAATTACTTCCTCAATGAATACTTAAATAGAAGATTAAACAAGATGAAGAGAGAATTAACAACTAAACAAATGCAGCTGACGAATTTCCCTGTTGGGTTCACACTCAGCAATTCCGCTTTTAGGAATATTATAGAAACTTCTATACACTTAAATCAGGAGACGTAGAGAAGACATTTTTATAACAGTGAAAATCTGGAAACTATGTCCATAAAAAAAAGACAGAGTAAGGAAAATATGATTGTATTATAAAGTAAATTCCAGGAAGGCAGAGTTTGGTGATTTTTTGGTTTGTTTCCATTTTCTTACTACTATACCTCAGTTCCTAAAAAGTGCCTGGGACATGAGCATACAAAAATACCTTTTGAAGAAATGAATGATTTATTCATCCCATAGAATAAGTAGGTTAAAAAGTGAATCAGCTACCACCACTGAGTCAAAATGTGTAAAGGAACAAATTTCTGAGTGGTAACCTCAAAATTCAGAAGAGTTTTATTATTTTTATTAGGGGGAAAACAGAGCTCTGATAGAGCAGGAGCAGACAGCTATTTAGTCACTGATGATTCTAACTCTGAAATTGTGTAGCACAGTCACAGGTATTCATTCTCTTATGTTTCAGAGTTATAAAAATGTCTAAAAATTTTTTAAAGCATATAGAAGGAAAATGTAAAAACATTAGTTCTCATTTCCATTGAATCAAATCCTACTGGTTCCTTTCCACCATCTAATCATGGCCCCCACCTTCCTACCCACTGAATGCAGATCATAAGTATCTCTGGACTGGGTTATAGTAGCACCCAGTGTATTGACCTCTTGTCTTACAATTCACAGGTTGATTCTTTTAAAAAAGCCATTTAGATATTGTCCATGGATTAAAACCCTTCAGATAGCTTTCCCTTGCCTTTAGGAGAGGGTGAATTTCATGAATATATTTAGGACCCTGTTTATATAACCATGTCTCTTCTTTGCTTCAACTCACCCTGCAGGTTTCAAATTAAACATAACCTTTGCATGTAACCCTTCCTTTATCCTAATTAACAAGACCAGGCACTTGTAGTTCCTCTTTGTCCGAGTTATTCTCTAAGTGAAGATTAGATACCCACCTGAACCTCATGCTCTGTCTATCCTGCTGGAAATACTCCTCATATTTAAATATCAGTTCTTAGAACACTGCAAGATAGTTTTCCAGGTGACCTTGGACTGACTCAGTTCTCTACCCTTTCTCACTAACAGTTCTCAAGGATAACTGCAGAAGGTGCTAGGAATGCAACAACTTGGGATAAGTGAGGAACTGGTCCAAAGAGCCAAGGCTCTGTTCTGGTTTTCTCCTACAAAGAGGATGTCCTTAAACATTTTAGTTCAGCAATTCCAGTTACCCCAGGATATGAAACCTGCTTTCTAGGATCCCTCAAATATGATGCATGTGGTGCATTTATACATGCCCTGGGCAGTTCCCTGGAGTCTAGGGAGAATGGTTTGCAATGAATCCTAGGTTTCTGTTGTCCCTTGATGCCTATCTCTGAGCAATACCTTCATGTCATTTGTTGTGGGGGGGGGGTCTTCTGTCTCATTGAACTCAAATAAATTGGTAACCAGAGCACAGTGAACCTACTTCACAAACATGCATTTTAGTGTTCATTAGACTTACTGAATAAATTGATATCAGAGTATGAGAAGGAAAATTTAACCCTAGTTTTAGGCATGGAAAATGGAACATAGTTGGTGAAATTATTTTCTTATCTGTAAAGAAAGGATAGAATTGTTTACCACAAAGCTAGTAATGTTGATCATTTAATTACAGAGTAAAAAGGAAACAATGAATATCACAGAATGTACTAGAGAGTTTGAGATCCTTGGGAGGAGAAAGGAATGTTTAAATTTATTTTTGTAGTTTTAGTCATTAGCAAAGTCCACAGAACATGGTGATTTTTCTCTAAATATATTGGGAAAATTTAGAATATGATGAATTTTCTTTATCCTCTATGGTTCCTAGTGAGACCACACTGAAGCAAGAAATTAAAATGTCTGGATTATATTCTGAATCTTACACAAATACAGATCTTCATTTTGAGTATTTTTAATTGAGTTAACTGATTTCAAGACAGAAACAATGATCTGAAAACACAATAAGAGCTTCATTAATATATTTTCTTTTGAAGTGTTGTTAGCTAAGCGAAGATATAAGGATTCATATAAATCACTGTAAATCCCCAAACGAATGTCAAAGTTAATTAAAGCTTCATTGACAACCCTAAAACTTAAAAATCAATAATGTTCTTAAAGATGTATTTTTCAAGATCTTATGAGGCATCTCCCTGAAATGAATTTAAGAAAAGTCTAGTCACTATCCATTTCCTAAGTTTTAAACTAGTACTTTGACCTGATATACTTTATTGAATGAGAAAACCTTTGTAGTTTTTAATAATTTTTATTTAAAATTCATGCCCTAAAACTTAATAAAGTGGGGGAGAGAAATACATTTTTCATGAATCTTATAGGACCCTGATAGGCTAGCACAAATGAAAGTCATTAGAAAACTTTTAAAAAGAGGTCAAAATTACTTCTGCTGTTCTATACAATTACTTGAATCAATTCATTGCATTTTCGTGTCTATCATGTTTACCTTGGAGTTAATGTTTCCAGTTCTCTAAGTTAGCTATGTTATACTATTTCTTATTATAGAGCACAGATTTGCTATAATCAGTCTTTTCTTTCATACCACTGGTTTTGTTATTTGAGCTAAAAAAGAGGAACAATGGTTTCCTTGATGGTGAAAGAGCAGCAAGTATTTAGGAGAACTGCCTTTCGCTCATATAGACTCAAATCCTGGCTCTGCTACTTCCTAGACAGGTATCTAATTCTCTAAGCACCCACACTCTAACCCCTCTCTCTTCTATCTTCTCTTCTCTTTTCGGTAATACAAGGGTAATAATAACAGTGCCTACATCATAGGATCGATATGAGAATAAATAAATATATATCAGTCTAATTATAAATATATGCATATATATGTGTAATTGTAAGTACATATAAAATTAACCCATATGTCTAGTACATATTGGGGGTTCAGTATCTGATGATTTTTGTTACATGCCATTCTCATTAAGTTGTAGCCTCAATACAAAGTTTTGGTCCCAGGAATCTCATCATATTAAAGCACACACACGTACCTCTTCAGGGCATCCGCTGTCCACCCAGTCCTGCCGATGGCGATCAAACCCACTGGAACATCTTTGAAGATCACAGTGTCATTTTGAAAGGAAGGACGGTGTCCAGGATAGGGAAGAGAAATTAAAAGAACAAGGTTGGTAAGTAGTTCATTCTCAAATTTTCAGTTAGGCATAATATCAACTTTCTTCTATAGAACTGGTAACTGGAGAAGCAGTGAAGCATTCAGTGTTAATGACTTCTCCTAGTTGTCAAACTTCTAGGGTCACACAAGACAAGACATTGCACCCCAAGGCTGACTCTTCTGTACAGAATGCTTAGAACCTTCCCACAAAGGCAAGATCAACTCTATGAAGTTGAATTTCTTTTTCCTCCTATTTTTTTCTCATCATCAAAATAAATGAATACAAGTTTTTTTTTTTTTGCAGGTGTGAAGATTTCTTTCTTACTTATTTAATATCCATGATTATGGTTTGGATGTGAGGTGTCCTCCAACTCCAAAAGCTTATGTGTGAGACAAAGCAAAAAGGTTCAAAGAAGAAATTATTAAGAGAGCTTTAACCCAATCAGAGAATTTATCACCTGATGGGATTAATTGAGCAATAAGTGAAGGAAGGATGGGTGTGGCTGGAGGAGGTGGGGCATTATGGGTGTGGCTTTGGGGTATACATTTGTATTTGGCAAGTGGTGAACTCTCTCTGCTTTCCAATCTTCATGTGAGCTGCTTCCCTCCTCTATACTCATCTGCCACAATGTTCTGCCTCCTCTCAAGCCCTGAAGAATGAAGCTGGCTGTCTATGGATGACACCTCTGAAATCATGAGCCCCTAAATAAACTTTTCTTCTTCTATAATTATTCTGGTTGGACTTTTAGTCACAGCAGTGAGAAAGCTGACAGAAACACCCATCATTCCCTAACCTCTTTATCTATTGTGCAGTAAAGGGTTAATGTGCAGTTTGGGGGTTTCAAACAGCTCCTGGGAGATAACCTCTAAACCCTGGAATATCCTGCCTGATAAGAGTGTAATCTTAGGTCTTGGGTTATGCAAGATAGCTTGTGCTGATAACATGATTTATTATGAATCTCTGGTTTTATTCACCTGGAGTCCTGGGCTATGCTGTATCAGTTTGACCTCCGGAGAAGTTGCAGACTGAGACATAGGTAAGGTTAGTTACCGGGTGTTCAGTCCCTGCATGAATGAACGCTGGACAATGGGAGTTGGGTGGGTTTCCTTGGTTGGCAATATCTGTGTGTTGAAATACACTGTTGGTGGGAGAATGGAGTGCTGTCTGTTTGATTTTGAGGAGAGTACCAGAAGCTTTGCCTGGTCTTTCCTGGATTCTGACCTATGTGTGTTTTTCATTAGTTCATTTTAATCCACCTTATTTTTCTGTACTAAATGGCAAGTTTGAGCATAATAACTTTGGGGAGTTCTGTGAGACCTTCTAGTGAACCCAAGTCGGCTCCTGAGGATGTTCAGCAACACTGTGATTAGGTCATACTACAAAGGTTTAATTTATCAAGAACCTGTCAGTAAGACTTTGTTCCTGTTCTTTTCCTTTACTGTAATAATGTTCTGTCTTCTGGACGGATCTTGATACAACCCATTCATTTTCAAAATCCAGAAATTACAATCCAGAACACGTTCTGATAATGCTTCATAATTGGGTTGATTACATCTTACTTTACTATTTAAGTTTTCTACTTTTTATCTCATGTGCTTCAGTCTCAATCACAAATTTGAGAAGATTTTAAAGTTAGGGTCAGTGTCTTATACTGATCACATCTAGTATATCAGATCCATGATATCTTTTTCATATTAGAAACTCAAAATAGCTTTCACCAGTCGATTAAGGATATACATTGACAATTTTTAAAATCTAAATATGTGTGTATACACACATATATAAATCTATATTAACATAATAGGCATTTATTTATTTTTCAAAATAAATGAAATTATCCACTAATTCTTTTACATTTCTTACAGCGCTTACAGTTTTACTTTGCAGACATCTTTTTCCCCCCACTTGTTTTGCAGTAAGTCTCCATAATGGCTCTTTCTAAGAATCCCAGCCAGAGATTATGTACCATGAAAGAGCATAATTTAATTCAAGTGGAATGTGAAAACAACCCCACTGTCAACAAAAAAGGCCATATCTATCATTCTCTCCAGACATGATTCATTGAAGCTCAGCTATTTTATGCCTACCATCTGTGTTCAACAAGCTTAACTATGGAATAAACATCCTTGTGTGATTTGGCATACTAACTTTGTGAATCCCCCATTGATTATGGCCATCCCTGGTTACCTAGTGAGATTCTGATGTGTGGCATCTATTTAACTCCAGATCAGTTAGATGACTATTCTCTCTTCTTTTCTCCTTTCAAGTCTGTTTAAATATTGAAGAATGTACTGACATTCTCTTTTGGATGATGCTGAGTGTATTAATTTTCTACAAAAAATGTTTTTTGGGAAACCACCTGTCCATCAGTAATTAAATGGAACAGATAATTTTTAAAATGTACTTTGTGTTCACATTCTGGATTTCAGCTGTATCCAAAGCCAATGGGATATGTGAACCTTTACCTTATATTAACAAGATAGCATCAGATCTTTAATTTGTATGTCATCTGAAATTTTACCTTAGAAAAATTAGTTGCTTAAATTGTTAAATTCATTCCAGGGAAAAGTACAGAAACATTGTAGTTTCCTTGATTTCCTAAATAATTCCCCAGTTATATTGTGCAAAATTGAGTTCTACTGAAAATATGCGTCAATTAGGTAATTAATTAATTCACAATTAATTGCCTACTCATTTATCTGTGCTTTACTAACAGTAAGGGAGAGAGGACTCAGAATGCTAAAACAAGTAAGATTTGGTTTATAAAGCTACTACTTTTTTTTTTTTAACCAGTTTACAGTGCCTTTTAAAAAATGAATAAAACTGAATCCTGCTTTTTTCAGCATATTTTTATAAACCATTAATCCAAGTAGCATCCCAAAGCAATTATAAGTGTGTGTTTGTGTGTGTGGCGGGGAGGGGAGAAATCACTTTTGAAAAGCCACTTTCATGTTATTTCTGGATTCTAAATAAATCAGAAATCATCTTTGGAAACACTTTCTAGTCTCTATGAACTACGTTTTCTTTTTTTCTTTTTTAAACACAGTGACAATATCCATGTCATGCCTCAGCATATTGATTTGCCAATATTTTCAACAGTGATTCATAAGAGGGTCTCCCTCAGTGGAATTACCTATGAGGCCTGTTGAAATTAAAGTGTCTAACTGCTCTCTCTGCTCCCTCTACTGACATTCGTTTGTCCCCCTTATATTATTTTTCCCCTTCCCCTCACTTCCTCTTGTATGTACTTTTGTATAACTCTGAGGGTCTCCTTCCATTTCCATGAGGGGAGGGGAGGGGAGGGGAGGGGAGGGGGGATAGTAGAGGATAGGAAAGGCAGCAGAATACAACAGACACTAGTATGGCAATATGTAAATCAATGGATGTGTAACTGATGTGATTCTGCAATCTGTATATGGGGTAAAAATGGGAGCTCATAACCCACTTGAATCAAATTGTGAAATATGATATATCAAGAACTATGTAATGTTTTGAACAGCCAACAATAAAAAATTAAAAAAAAAAATGAAACTCTGATAGATTGCTTCAAAATATTGGAAAAAAAAACCCACAATGGTATAAATTTATATTTATAATTTGTTAGTTATCCATTTTAGCCTATTCAAAAGAAATATTATGTGTTTCCAATGAGTATCTATAATTCAACTATAAAGCAAAATAAACTAGTGAGAACTATGAAAAAATAAAAATAAAAAAAATAAAGTGTCTAACTGCCCTAGATTCTCTAGCAGTGGGGGCCCACCCCAGGCCATTCTTACCACACTGAAATTTGAAAACTGCTGGTTTCTTGTAGATTATGCGCAGGGCCCTTGCCCCTCATACAGCCCACCCCACCACAACCCATTCCTATGCTTCTGTGTTCCCATACTAGCACTTTGATGTCCTTCCCTGCACATGCTGGTTCCCTCATGAAACCACCCTTTGAACATGCTGCTTCACAGGTCTGGGATTCCCAATTACTAAACGCAATTCAAAGCAAGCCTAATCTCCTCTCAGAAACATCTCCCCTCATGCCACCAGAAGAGTCAGCAATCCTTACTTAAAGTTCTGAAAAAGCCAAGTGCAATTGTACTACCATTGACTGCTTTCAAGTTTATTTTACAAGCCTTCAGGGAGCCGATGGTTAGAAGTAAGGGTTTTGAGTCAGAATTTTATCTCAGTGCAAAAAGAGTGTGTGATCTCAGGGAAGTCAATTTTCCTTTCTTTTAAAAAACAGTTTATTGCATCATGACAAACTAGAATCGCATATATTTACATCATATGAAGGGATATTACAATATATGTATTCAATGTAGCATGATTAAGTTAAGCAATTAACATAGTCATATCCTCAGAAACTTTTTTTGGTGTGATGAGAATATATAAAAATTTACTTTCCTAGTAATTTTAAAACATACAATATGCAATTATTAACTATAGTCATCATCCTGTGTAATATATCTCAAAATAGTTTTTCCTCCTAATTGGAACTTTGTTGCCCTTAAATTTTGTTTTCCTTTCTAAGCCTGTTTCCTCACCTGTAAAATGAAGTGGAGAAGATTAAATAAGGATTAAAAGTAGAGCGTCTGGTACTGAGTAAAGGTTCAGTAGTTTTTTTTTTTTTTTTCTTTTTTTGGGGGGGGAGCATAGCAGGAATTGAACTCAGGGGAACTTGACCACACAGCCACATTCTCAGCCCTATTTTGTATTTTATTTAGAAACAGAGTCTTACTGAATTGCTTAGTGCCTCACTTTTTGTTAAGGCTGTCTTTGAATTTGTGATCCTCCTGCCTCAGCTTTCCAAGTTGCTGGGATTACAGGTGTGTGCCACCATGCAGGGCTATCAGTTGCTGTTTTAACACCTAAGTAACTAATGTTTTTTTTGTAGCAGGCAGGTAGCAAAGTTGATGACTGTAGAAAAATGAGTGACATTTTCAC